ACCGTCCCTTCTCTGTCGCCCGTGGGGAGTCATTGTTCCCTCGGGTATGACCCAGAGAAGTGCGACATCGATAAAGTCCATCCGACCTCAACGACTGAGTCGTGGCCCGTAGCCATTGTCCTTTGCTCGAAGGGTGTGAGAGAAGCTGTGCCAGCACAGAACAGCCCTCGAAAGTATCGTCTGAGTGAATGGTTGAGATAGAAAACAACAAAAACTGGAGAACCAACATGCCGATCCTGCCAACTCCCTAGAGACGGTGGTGAGGTAGCAGGAGGGAGCTAGAAGGCACGACGAAAAATGCGTTCGTAACAATGTCGTTTCTCTTTCTTGTTCCGTTGCGCGACTGGCATTTCATCGGATAAAGCCGACCATGGACGCACAGCGGCTGCAGTAGTATGAATTCATGCCGAAGCGCACCACACCGGGGGAGGACTCATTTTCAAGGCTCATGGAGCGCTGACATCTCGAACAGCGGACAATGTCGAAGTTCATAGCACCAGCCTCTTTCGTTGTGTGGGAAACGCCCTTTGCGCCGGAAGGTTGCGGTTGAACCTGTACCGAGGGCGAACTCATTTTGGAGATGCCGATCAATGCGGGCGCGGTGGAAATGAACGGTATGGGCGACGTCGTTGTGAGGGTGGAAGGTGCGCGGGAGTAGTAGCGCTGATCCGTTAACCAGAAAAGGTGGTTTGTATGTAGGCGTCGGGAAAAGGTAGGGAGAGGAAAAGGTGAGAGCGTGGTTGTTGAGAGAAGATGACTTGGAGAAAAAATAATAAAACGAGGCTGAGTCAATGCGTAGCCCACGAAGGAATAAAATAATAAATTCACGGAATGACGGAAATGTTTCTTTCTTGTTCTGCGGACGTAATTTCCACTAAATTCCCAGGCAGACGAGAATCAACCACGTGGGACAGGGTTTGTGTCAAGAAAGTCGAACGGACAAGTCGGCATTCAAGGTTTGAGGGAAGAAGAATCGTGAGAAGAGACTAGAAATAAAAACATTTGAACTGGACTGGACTGGAAGTATCGAAATATCTATACCACCAGCCAAGGGCAAGTTCGAAGGGTCAGATCGATCCACTTTCTTCTCCCTGTCTAGGACCGGCGTCTTTTTAGTTTGAAAGCGAAAATAGTTTTTTTAGGGCCCGGAGGAGAGGGAAAAAAATAAAAATAAAATAAAATAAAATAATAAAATAATAAAAAGTAGGGAATATTTCAAAATTTGAAAAATAATAAAATCTTAGTTGAATCAGGAGACTGCAATACTGGAAATGCAGTTATGGAGCCCGAAGAAGTAAGTGCTTTTTTCTTTAAAAAAAAAAAAAATGGAGCAAATATTAACTACCATCAATACCACTACTTTCGACGCTGCGAGTTATTCGACTGAACGAGGAGAACAGGGTGGAATGTGGGTTCAGTTTCAAGGTCAATCCCAGGCTGTCAACCATGGGGGGAAAAAACGATCCTCCATAGAGACAGAGGGAGAGAGATTGGAGCTTCGTGATTATCGGTATGTACGATGCCGACCGCAGGCGGAGCAGGACAGTATTATATCTTAATCTTGCTACTACTATCAAGGTACGGAGTACATACAGTACTTGTATGTATCTACTACTTCCTTGCTGTACCTCAGGCAGCCTTTCTTATTCTGATAATTTGAGTTTCGGGGTTTTTTGAATGAATGTACTAGACATCCAGTCTGTTTGGTTGATCAGTGTATGGATGAATTACCCCCCATCGGTAAAAGCATGTTTTTACCTTACAAGGTGACGGTCGGTGGGAAATCCTGTGTGCAATTTCGGACTGCAGAACGCCCTACAACAAAAGTCGTCGATAGATTGGCTTAACCCTATGTACTCCATACTGATGGACAATCTCCCCCCAATTAGGAGGAATTGCCGCATAGGTCGTGTCGTCATGACCGATCGTCTGGTTGACGGATTCACTTTCTGGGGCGATCGCCGCAGTGGTTCACCCTCATTCTCCTCTCAGGAACGCTCATGGTCCCATTTGCACAACTTCCCCTCTAACAAATTACGAATCCCCCTGCTGAGCGGGATACATGGATGGACTAGGTTTTGGTCGTTTTAGGCTTTCTTATTTTTTTCCTCCCATGACAGTTATTCTAAGACGGTTCCCTCGTATCTGAACGGTTGTCTTGAAAGTTGAGTCCCATCTATCGGTCTAGTCCGTTCTTGGCCATCTAGACCAAGAATGGACGGTACTATTGGATACCAAAGCCCAAAAATCCGATAGCCTGGCGGAGCATGTGGCTTTCGCAGATGATAAGTGGTTGCCTGTCAATGTAAGGTAATGCTATCTTAATGGGGTTATCGTTTGAGTCAAGACCTGTTGCCCGTTAACAGTTGCCGATCCACCTGTGGTCGAGGCTGGTCGGACTACGTGATTTCCATGGTCACCGTGCGGCTGATGCCAGAGCGATGCTTGGAACAGGGAATGTGATTGGGTCATCGGGGACAGATATATAATAGTATCATCATGAGTAGTAGCATATCTCAAGGGGACTGCTAAGTAGTACTAGCACTACACAAACAGATACGAGGTCTTGCCTCCTTTGTCGGGTAAACGCGACAATAATAAGAAATCAAATCAAAATCAAATCAATCCAATGAACACCATTCTATTCTTTCTCAATGTAATTGGACCTCTTTGTTAACATCGACTAAACCTCGACTGATTAGGTACAACAAAATCACATGCCTTGGCAGTAAGGAATGAAACGTACTGTATGGTGGGTGTTTTGCCCAGCCTCGTGGGTAACTTTTTAGGGAACTGTGGCTGTGCAGCATTTCCCGTGAGGCGGTTACCGTCTCCACTGCCCGTCGTTTCAGAATTTGAGCCTGTCTGGGTCGCACGAACGAGACGTGAAGGAATGAGGTACGCTTATCCTTCTCCCCTGAGTGGACAATGAATAGAGAGTCATGATGCTATCGATTGACAGGCCTTCCAACCATGTTCATTGCTAACATCATTGTTCCTCTGGAGTCCGGTATCACGCAACATTCCCTGATTGCATGCAAGCAGTAAAATCGACATCGACGTCAACAACCTTATCAACCTAACGTAATGAGACCAGGTGACGATACTTACCAATTACCGTTCCTTTTCAGGCTCTTTGCTGGCAGCTGCACCCCGGGATTGGGCGATGGCTGGTGTGATCCTTTGCGACCACGCATATGCTATGTGTGTATAGAGTACTCCGTACATACATTCCAGCTGTCTTTGCGCCTTGATCGCTTGAAAGAGTTAGTTAGCTGCAGACTTGTTCTCCTCCGAGGAAAGCCAGCCGAGTGGGCCGTAGTAGGACTACTATCTAGGTAAAAAGTATGTGCATCCATACATACATCCTGTACCTACAATTGGCAGCACTTACAGGGACACGACACCCCCGGAGTACTGTGTCCCCGTTCTGAGGCATTTTCAGACTGTTATCTCCGATGGCTGCAATATCCATTTTCATTTCTTTTTTTTTTTCTTTTTCTTGTAAACAATGGTTATTTTGCATATTATTGAAAAGCCCCTTAATCCTTTCAGGACATAGCTCCCTCCACACATGCACCTCGAAAACGACGTCACTTCATTCCCCGCTCCATGGCAGATACCGAAGGGAACAAAGCTGGAGACGCTCATCAGTTACTCGGTTAGGTTAAATCAAATATACCTAAGGAGTTCAACGTTAAATAGTTTAGGAGATAAAAAAGATGAAACATTCAAATGGAAAGAATTGTCGTTAGGAGAAATTATCCTTATTACTTTCAGATATTTTATAATATGATTCTTCTCCAGTACTCCGTACGGAGTACGGAGTACTGCACCACAACCCCTCTATACCCATGTGACCTGATAACCCGCTGCAATGCACTGTTCCTGGTCTGCTGGAGGGTAATGGAACAAAATGGTCGTTTTCCTTCTGTTGCCTTAGCACTCATCACATTTCGGATGCTTAAAGCACAGACACCCCGGGATCTATGCATGCAGGCTTCTTTATTTATGCCCATTCGGGCACTGCGCTGCTGCGGAACATGTACACACATGTTGACTGCGCACAAATCGATACTGTCTGAACGTCCCCACGATCTCCTCTCTTTCTTTCTTTTTATTTATATTTATTATTATTAATTTTTTCCTCTTCGATTTCGGTTTTACTATAACTAATATTATCGTGACTCAGTACCCCTCTTTTAGAGGATGGGAATATCGGGTCTCGTCACCCTAACCAACATCCCGTCCTGCGTGACTTAGGCATGTACTTTACATCTCGACTGGTCAATAATCAATCAGCAGACGCAGCGGGCACCGCAAGTAGGACTTGTCGCTTCTGGCGCCTGCACAATGTTGTAATAACGCGTGGGCATGCGGACCGCTCCTAGGTTGGCGGCAATGCATGAGGCCGAAATAGTCAATTTGCTGACTCCTTCGTTCCAGCTAGCCTTGAATTTGACGGAATGGGTAAGCCATTCATCAAATACCATACCATACCTACATCGGACAAGGTCGATCGAGTTGCCGAGGGGTCGGGTTGCATTTTCCCTGATTCATGACTATAGCTCCTGCGGGCGGACATGGCACTGACATCATTGTCTATGTTTTCCCCCATCTGGTGGTTGGACAGGGGGTGGCCGATGATCGATGATAGCAGAGAGATCTTCCAGCTCGTTTCCGGATTGGACGTGGGGGGATCCATCGTACAAAACCTCGCAATCTCCTCAGGGTCGCTAAGTAACTTGAAATTAAACAGAAATATTCAGGGGTAGATAATGAATGGACTTACTTCATAGAAGATTCAATTGTAGTAGTTTGTTCCTGTCGTCGTCCTGTTTTTCTCCCTTTGCAAGATTGTGTTCAAAATGACCTACGACGACGTCATGGGAGACTGACGGGGTTCCACCAAACAGTCCTGTCATACATATCAATCCACCTGTTGATGTTGTTCTACCCTATCTCTTTTGTAGCCATGTTTTCTGGCTTCTCTCTTCCGATTCCGCATGGAGAGGATATGACCCATGATATCAATAATTATGGAAAAGAAAAGAGAAAAATTCCCGAATGATTGATCTCTTTAACTGATGGGTGGTTGCATTGCGTTCGGCAGGCACGGGACTGAGTAAAGGTAATGATTACATCTCCAATAACATCAATTGAGGAACTGCCCCGCCACCCCGCCTTAGAGCTGTTGACCGAAACCACCGCCTTGGAATAATAATCTCTTTTCTCATTTTGCCTTCTTTCTGAGTCCCCCTCTCTTCACATCCGCTAATTTCTATAATAGTCACCATGGCAAGCCAATCTCCCAATCTGTACAGCTTTTCCAATTCCGATGCGCTCGCGCAACAGTTGAGGACATACGTCCTTAAGCATCAAAATGCCGCCCTCGCCCGGCATGGTACTTTCCGAGTCGCAGTTTCAGGTGGCTCCCTGCCCACTGTTCTCGCTAAAGCGTTACTTGCACCAGGCAACGGAACTCCCGAAGACACCGCGCAATTCTCCAAGTGGAATATCTTCTTTGCCGACGAGCGCGCCGTGCCCCTCGATCACCAAGACAGCAACTACAAACTACTGAAGGATGAATTGCTGAGCAAGATCCCCACGGAACTGGGTGAGCCCCGTGTGCACACCATCGATCCCAAACATGTGAACGACGAGGACCCACAGGAGCTCGCAGACTTGTATCAGGAGGAACTGATGCGCATTTTCGCGGCCAAGGACAGCGTCAAATTACCGGTGTTCGACTTGCTCCTTCTGGGCTGTGGTCCCGATGGTCACACCTGCAGCTTGTTCCCCGGCCATGAGCTCCTTAGGGAGAAGGACGCTTGGGTCGCGGCCATTAGCGACTCGCCGAAGCCCCCGCCGAAGCGGATCACCCTCACCTTACCCGTGGTCACCCACGCTCTTAGCATCGCGTTCGTGGCTACCGGTGGTGGAAAGAAGGAGATCATGAAGCAAATTTTCGATGCGGAGGAGGGAAGGGACCTCCCTTCTTCTCTTGTCAACCAAGGTGCTGGGGAGAAGGTCAGCTGGTTCACTGACCATGCTGCTGTGGAGGGTGTCTCTTTCCCGAGACGCGGAAGCTTGTAATCGGGGTACTGGGCATTGTGATGGTATGTTGAGTCGAAGCTGGTTGAAGTTGAACTCCCAAGTGAAGGCAAGGGGGAAAAGTCCAAGGCTATTTGCGACCGGGTTTCCTTCTAACCGCTTAATCTGCGGCCACGTGCGCCCACTGAACAAGGTGGTGATGGCCTAACATGGACATATCCATGCTTGCGAGGCTGAGTGGCCTAGGCCATTGTCCACGTTGTCAGCGAAAAGTTTGTGTTATCTGTACTTTTTGATATCACAGACAGTTTAAGTTGAATGAAGTAATTATGAAGCATGCCATACGCGACACCCAATAAAAGATTGAACAGCTCATTGGTAACGTTGGCGTATAACTAGTACAGTGCAATTCCGGTGAAATATATTCTATTTAGGGTTATGCCATAACCTGGATACTCTTGGTTCATTATAAATCTTCGTCAAGAAGACCTTTCACAAAACTACCAGGACAGTCGGGTGTGTAGGAACTACTCCCATAATGGTAGATTTGGATATGAACCTTGATGTATAGGGTATAATTTTAAAAAGCATGACATTGCCGTTATGAATAGTTTCTAATCAATATATATAGTTAGCAATATAAAATAATTGATAGTGTGGCTATTATAAATTTGAGTATAGTGTAGTCAATCCACTATACTATTCATCGCCAACAGCACAAATGTTTTTCTATATATACACAATATATACCAACCAGAAAGGTGTCGCTAGTATTACCTTGGAACTATACTAGTTCGATATGCAGTACTACTTGGCCTTGTTCTCCATTGGGAAAGCACTCGGCTGCCAAGCTTTTTTGAACCGGCACTGAAGCTCACCGCAGCACGAGTAACTTTACCTTGGAACTGGAGATGATCGTTCATACTATTGACATGAATAGACTCCGACCTTGGGAAGAAACTGGATTTGAGACCTCCCCTCTCTCCCAACGGACCTGATCAGAATAACTGAATCAATGCATGTATGATCTGATAAATGACTTTGACCCCTAGCCACAATGCCAATACCCACTCGCTCCCTGTCGTTTCGGGAGCCCCGTAAACAGGTTAGTCTTGTACCAGGTCCCTTGCCTCAAGCTCCCCAGAGATGAGAGCTGTCCCTCGCACACCAGTTCTAACAACCGAAAAACAAGCCCACTACACTAGGTCGCTCATCTTCGATCAGGACAGTATCCACCAGCACAAAGGCAGTGACGGGCGGTACACCTTCGAATCCAGCAGCCAGTAACGAAAACCTCTCGACCCGAGGCAAGAGCTTGTTGCCAGTCCGCGATGACAGCCGATCGTCGAGTCCGTTGCGCTCTCAGCCGCAACTAGATAGCCAGATTGCTCAGCGAGTGAGCAAGCCCGAACAAGACAAGCTATCCGTTACACCGACCCTGGCGAGTCGTCGCCGAAGTCTGATTAAACCGACTCCATTGAAGACCACCCCTTCTCCTGCGAAGGCTACTGCCGTGTCGATAACACCGAGACGAACTAGTTTGGCGCCTCCCCTGCCCTCTCCAACGAAGCAAAATGGGTGCCCAACATCGCCGAAGAAGACAGAAATGCCTCCCCCCCCTCGGCCGTCGAGGTCGGCTTCTTTGCGACAGCCAGCAAGTTCGAGTTCGGGGCCACCTACGCCAAGGAGTCATGCGCGACACCGCAGTCAAGTGATCCCTCCCACTTCTAGTCAAATCTCTAGGAAGATAGATCCGCCATCGGCACCAAGCACACCACGTTCCAGGGCTCAATTATCAACCTACCAGCAACAGCCCTCCCCCAAGAAGCTCGCCAAGCCATCCACCACTGCCCCATCGGCTCGTGCACCTACAGAGCTGGATCCTTCCTTGATACCCTCCTCATTGCCAGAAGTTGCTGCGCTACAAACCGAACTCTTACAGCTGAGCCTTCTGCATCTGTCTTCGCTGCGAGAGGACGCCGAATGGAAAGCCAACGCAGAGAAACAACTACAGATAAAGTACAATACGGTTGCGGAAAAGTATCGTGGCGTTGTGAAAGAGGAAAAGCAATATCAGCAGCGACTCAATGGACAAGCGTTGCACTGCTGGCTCAAGAATTCCATTGAACATAACGGCCACCAAGGGTTTGCCGTACAAATCCAAGTCCTTTCAGGGGTTGCGCAAGAAGTGTGCGATTTATCTGATATTCTAGGAGGCAGATTTACGTTGGCCGTGCAGGAATTTGAGTCCTGGTTCCGGAATGTTGAGGAGATCAAGACCTGTCGACATTACCAGGGAGGATCAGACCTTGATGTTTTCATCGACCCTCTCGATCGCGTTTGGAAGGAAGAAGTGCACGCGGTGACTATAAAACTGGAACTATGCTCGAGGCAACTGCAGAGTCTGGATATATTGGGCTACGGGGAGGTAGAACAACTGGAAGGTTCCAGCCTTTATCGGACTGCAAAGGGATTAGATGATATGGTGAATTCGATGATCGAGGAGTTGAACATCATCCGTAAAATCGAAACGGACGTCGTAAGATTGGAAAGACAGTGGGTGAGTCAGCTCAGCCAGCAGGTGGCCTCCACGAGACCGCCGGAGAAGAGGATCCCCCGAGTTGGAATGTGGAGAACATAGCTGGAAAAGACATCCATTCCTCATGGCAATGTGATTGATCAGTCACATATCCATGTCAATCTGCGATGTCCTGGCTCGGAGCATATCCCGAGCTTCTCATTGTCTTCCCTCTTATTCTGCGAAACTACACTCCGCCATGAGCAGGCATACTCAGGGACCCCGCGGATCACTGAGGTACCCGTTGAACTTCACCGGGTAGAATTCGAACCAGGAGCACATTACTTCGTGGACGACCGAAAGATCGATCTAGAGCCACCCACTTTCTAACCGGGGCTGTGGCATTGAAAGGGTGAAAAACAAGCTTCTTGCTGGTGCTCCTGGTTTTGTGAGACCCAGATGGTCTTGAAAACTGGTTTCTAACCCGCACTGACCCTTGCACGCAAACTTGATTGAATGATACATACAGTTGACAGTCGCCATAATACGGCCTGTTATTCTTGGATTCCCTCAGTGGCATGGCCAATCTCGTGGGAAGTGCACAAATTTCTCTTTCTTTCTTTGATTCATTTTTTTTCCCTGGCTTCTTCACACTCCCTGGTTTTCAATTCCGGCCTGCCAGCATCGGGGGGTGTCAGGCTCGTGGACTGTCTTGATATCCCCACCATTTCTAACCACTCACGGACACATACTGGGACGGAAATACTACGCTGGAGATGATAGGCAGCCTCCAGGCTGGGATCCTGCCCGGCGACCAAAGTGGAAGTTGATTCTCGACCAGGAACGTGACTCATGACCATGACCCTATTTTGACTCGTAGAATGCTTTCTATGACTTATGGAACATAATGAAAAGATGATTAATTAATGCGCCTGATAACTCGTTCCACTGCAGTTAGAGAAATATACTACTGTGTAGGAAGGTTGTCCCAGAAGGATGACTAAGTCGATGTGTGGAAGATGGTTTCGTTGTCGTCATACTTTTCAAGTGTAACGTACTTGTATCCGACTCTCGGCCGGGCCTGAAAATCGGTGTTTCCTTTCATCAACTGTCACTGCCAGCTTAGCTGCAGGAATCTCCTTGAGTGGGAACTGTCCGTATGTTCCTGAGAGATATAAAAAGAACCCCTGAAATGACGAAAACTACTTCTGATTTTGCTTTTTCTTTTCTGTTTTCCTTCTCAATACAAATGACTGCCGGTCCAGATTAAGGAAGGCTTGGCGTCCCCATGGCGAACCAAAGACTAATCTTTCCATGACTTCAACCCGATGTAGTGTGGACAAGCTCGAACTGCCCCGATTGAATACTATCCAACCCTTTCGACAGGTTCTTCATTGGATGCTCGCCCAAGGTTGAGACGCTCTCACTGACTAAGGGCCCTGGAACCATTCCAGATCCTCACCGATTCAATCCAGTCTCGACCAACGGTGGTTCTGGAACTGTGGAGCTTTTCTTTTTTCCCCTCTTACTTGTCCGGCACATATTATCTATGACATTCCATTGCCTCTTACTTTTCTTTTTCTCTCTCCACCGAGCGCCAGGACCAACACCGGAGTTAGTTTCTTTCGCCGCTGACCATCCTACTCTGTTACAATTTCCTCTGATGCAGTCTACTCTCATCTCGCGCAGCCACTAAATGGATATTCCTCCTTCCACTTACCTTCGCCGCGTCGCTTAAATACTCTACCAACCGAGGCCGATCTCATCGCCGATTCCTCATTTACTCTCAAAGCACTTGACATCGTCTAGCCTTCTTCTGACAACATTGACTTTCGGTTCGTGACGACTTACTCTCGATATCGCTTTCCGGGACGCAACACACTGAGTGTCGCATCGCGGCTTCGTGCCAAACCCGACGCTGACGTCACCGTAGCAGCTGTTGCTGTCCGAAATCTGTCGCGCGCAATGATCCACACACAAGCATATTGAACACCGACTGTCGCCTGACTATCGCCGCCATAATGAAGAACTCACCGTATGACCGCCTCTGGCGCCGGGAAATAGGGGAGCCGTCGCGCCTTGCCAGTATTCGCGGGATCTATGGATCTAAGGAATGGGTAGACGATCTAGACATCGTCAACGAGCTGGGTGGACATACAGGCTGTGTTAATGCATTATGGTACGTTGGAAGCCAACGCACTATTGGTGGTATCACAGTGTTCTTTCCTTCTTTGGTTCCTGCGTCTGACAACATCTTGCAGTTGGTCACGATCTGGCCAGCTTCTCGCCTCAGGATCCGACGACCATTATGTGAATATCTATTCCTACCAACCCGAGTCGTCATCGGCACCCTTTTCCCTGAATACCACTCTCCATACTGGCCATAGAGCGAACATATTCTCCGTCAAGTTCATGCCACACTCAAATGATCGTACCTTGGTAACATGCGCTGGTGACCATCAGGTTCGGGTCTTTGACATCGAATACTCTAGCAGTAATGGTAATCTTGAGGCTACTTCTGCTTTTACTGCCTCCGCCCGCAGTCGGCGATTCAACAATTTTTTCACAAATACCCGGTTCCTGACTGCAGAGAATACAAATAGCCGTGTCTATCGTAGCCATGCGGATCGTGTTAAGCGTATTGTCACTGAGTCGTCCCCGTATCTATTCCTGACGTGCTCCGAGGATGGTGAGGTACGACAATGGGATCTACGTCAGCCTTCCTCCGCGTATCCTAAGCCGTTAGGTGGCCAAGGCCCCATGGCCTATCGGCCGGGGGTGGTGCACGATGATTCGAATGTTCCTCCACCCCTGATTTCTTACAAACGGCATCATCTGGATCTCAACACCATATCGTGCTCTGCTACTCAACCCCATTACATTGCGCTGGGCGGTGCTCATCTTCATTGTTTTCTCCACGATAGGCGTATGTTGGGCCGCGATTTGCTCAAGGAGAGAGGGGACCCGGGCGGCTCTCCTCGGATCGGCAGTGATCGCGAGGACGAGCTGATGAGTCAAGCGACAAGATGTGTTCGAAGATTCGCACCCAATGGCAAGCGCCGGATGAAACCGCGGGACAACGGACATATCACTGCCTGTAAGATCAGTGATGTCAACCCGAACGAGATGGTGGTTAGCTGGTCGGGTGATCACATTTACAGTTTTGATCTCATTCAAAGCCCCGATGCCAGAGAAGCCGAGTCAGCACGCCAAAGGTCCCCACAGGAAACCCAGTCTCCGCGTAAACGACGGAACTCAAAGAATAGAAAGCGCAAGCGTCGAAATGGCGCTTCGATATCATCTTCCGAGTTTAGTGGTAATCGGCATCAGTCTCGCCGGCGGTCCCACGAGCAACCAGACGATGACGAACTGATGATTCGCGCACGGTATGGGAACGGCGAAACAGGGGATGTTCCGCTATCAGCGGTCTCCGCGTCTACTCCTGGTGCGTCAAGGCGTGCAAGGAAGCAAGCAAGGTATCCTGTTTTGAACGAAGCGCAAAGACTCAGCATGCGTATTGCCAGAGCTCTAGTTAAGCTCCGCAAGGCTTTGTTCTCACTAGAGGCCACTGTACGAGAGGCAGGCGAATCGCCGAGCCAGCTAAATCAGACCCTCTATGTTGATTCCTTTTCAACGGCGCTGACACTGGCTTCGGAATATCTCCCAAAGATGGAGGAAGTCATGCGAACGTGGGGATACCCTCTCAATCCTTCTTCTGATGTGGTCAGGTTCCAACAGGCTCTTCGTCGAAACAGGGAGACAACCTGGAGATTTGTCCAAGCCGCAGGAACGTTAGCCCGCGTTCTGGGAGGCGAGCTCCGCGGAAACTCCCTCCCTGACGTGCCGTTTATGCAAATCATGCCTGCGCCCGGAGAGGGCAATACTATCCCTGAAGAGGCTCAATTCGGCTATGATTTCCTAAAGGCCATACTGCTGTTTTTGGAAGGAGGTAGAGAGGCTATCATTTCAGGATTCAAGCGTAGTAATGAACATCGGCGGAGTGCGTCACGGTATCCTTTGTCTGACGAAGCTGATGACAGTGCCATTGAATCGGAGCTAGTTCCTTATCTTCAGAGACTTGCGGGTGACACGCCTGTCGTGAACGTTGATGCCTCGAGATTCGAACACGATAGCACACGTGTACTTTTTCCGAACCAACGCGCAGCAGTGACGGCTTTTGCAAACGTTGTGAAACTCCCACTCGAAGACCTAGAAAACGCTGCTGCGAGAACCCATGATGGTGACGGTCATTCTGATACATCCCATATCCGCTCCCTTGATCGAACAGCGGTACGGCGGTTCTGGGGCATAAAGGTCGCTCGTGGTATTTTAATTGAGGCAGGTTCGGGAGTAAATTACTCATTTGCCAACCGTGCATTCGGTGGGTTGCGTACAGTAATAGAAGACGAATCTTCTGAACCCGAAGGCGAAACAGGCCCAGAGAGGTCGCAAACTGACATACGGCCCGATTTTGAAGAGTATCAGATTTTCGAGCATCTCCACATGTTGTCTGCCATGAATTCTACCGAAGAAGCCTTGATTTCAGGCGGCGGAGGGCCCGATGCTACTTTTGGGTCTGTATCCCAGGTTATTCTCACTCCATCGACTGACGCTGATAGCGAGACAAGTGACCACAGTTTTTCCGAGCCGCACGCCAGTGATTCTGATAGTGACGAGAGTAATTCTGATCATGATGAGAGTGGATCTGATGTAGCTGTGGAGGAAGATGATGATGAAGATGATGAAGACGATGATGATGATGATGAAGATGAGGAGGATAGTAGTGACGACGATAATGACGATGACGGGTTTGACATCGATAACAGCTCCGAAGACGGTTATGATAGCGATGAAATGCTCGAGCCTGAAGAGCGTATGCTCCGCCTCAACGGCTTGAGAACATCCCGAAGAGAGGAGGCGGGTCTCGACGTGCCGTGCTCCTCACATACCAAAGTCTACCGCGGACATTGCAATGTTAAAACAGTCAAAGATGTCAATTTCTTTGGTTTGAATGATGAATACGTGGTGAGCGGCAGCGACATGGGGCATCTGTTCATCTGGGACCGGAAGACATGTGACTTGGTCAATATTCTGGAAGGTGATAGTGAAGTCGTCAACGTTATACAAGGTGAATCTGGCTCTCCTCTGCTGAATCCAGCCTTTTCACTGACAATCTGCCCTCAGGCCATCCATACGAGCCGACCATCGCGGCTTCTGGAATAGACACTACTATCAAAATTTTCTCAGCCGACAGAAATGCACAGGAGAACGCTCGCCACGGCATCAACATTCTGAACCCTGAGAGCCCAGCTAATGTGCTAAGTCCGAGTGTCTCAAACATCGGTGGGCTCAACAGCTGCAAGCGCATGCACGATAGCTACCAGATAATGAGTCAGAATGATGTCGAACGTCAAGGCGGGATGGCCGATGCAAACCTCACAGTAAGTCTATTTCAACCCGCTGCTTAGTTGACATTTCAGCAATGTCGGATAGGTCAAATAAATTCTGACCATGCAATTATAGAGAGAGATGCTCTCCCGGATTGCCGTAAGCATCAGACATGGTGGAGGACAAGGAATTGTCGTGGATGAGAATTGCAACGTAAGTTACGCCCTCTTCAGCATCCCCCTAGTAAAAGGAGGGAGTAAAAGCCCCAATACATTCGTCACATATCGCTAACCATATGATCCTAGATGATGTGAAAAATTCGATACCTTAAAAAAGCACTTTTATACCAAAGTGGTACAGTTCGTGCGCGGAAATTGGGCATTCCTTTCTCTATTAGTATTATAATTTGATAGACCTTTACTGGGAGACTCACCACTTTTCGGACTATATACTGTATTGCTGTAAAGGCCTAGTCAGGCTTACTCTTTCTACCCATGGATGGTTCAAGCCGACCCTACCATAGGACTTCTGAGGATGTTCGTGTTAGAATACTTGATTAAACGCGGATGGGCAACTTTCGATGAGTTACCGGGTACACCGGCCAGGCTTAGACATAATCATAAGAGGGTGTAGAGGTGATGATCTTGTGGGTCGAAGAGTTCATTCCTCGTCCGAATTTCAGGAGTTTGTGGTCAACTCACCTTTCGTTGTGCCATCCTTTTTCTACACACTGGGGTTCGGTATATACCCAGTAGGGATGGGCATTACAGGTCCTCCGTTATCCAACAAAAGATGACCCCTCAGCTAGTAAGTGATAGTGCCCGATAGTCACTAAGCCTAAACGCTGCACTGGTTTCATTCCGCCATTGCGCCAACCTCGATGCTATGATTACTGTAGTGGATCTCAGAGAACCAAAAGTACTCAAGACACCCGCTATGAACTAGCTAATTAGCTCTTTTCCCAGTGGATTCTTCATTCTTCCTGGATTTTACTTTGAGCTTGAGAACCGACCTGCTCCAGTGTAGGAGGACTTGCCAACGGGTTGGTCAAGACCCCCACCGTGAATTTTTAACTTAGCTCGGACCCTTGGGCTCTTACTAGTACAGTACATCTGCGGGACGAAGAGTCGATTGTTCTCGTCCACGCATGTACATACATACATACGTAGTGTAGGGGACTCCCATTCAATCACTCACGCTTACAGAGCAACGTGCCAAAAAAGAAGCCTTGTTTGGCGCTTCTACTATCCACTTAAGACAGATTACTATAACTATATCACGCATGAATGGTGTCTAGTCCCTGGACACTTAGTTTAGTGCAATAGACCGTTCAACACGTGGGTCCATCCATGACAGCTATCAATCCACCTACAACTAGCTGGCATGGGGGTTACGTCAGGAATGCAATCTACGGGTTTGTTCGGTGCAAGATCCATGCCCCAAGCAGGTGAAAAAGACAACTGGGCCTTCACTATGGTACGATGCGAGGAGGTTGCAGGGGAAAGAAACCATCAATAGCAAGGGTATACGGCTGGCTCTCTCTATACCCCTGGTCGGTTTACTAGCAGGAGGGGGGGGGGGACGCACAAACACAGCCACAGGCTCACTGTGCATTAGCTTTTCTTACAAGATCTAGAGATGCATGTGTACCCGCGGAGATATGCTGGAATGAGGCAAGCATGGATCCACTGCTGCAGCTGCAGCTAATGTGTGGCCTTAGTATGGCCGAGTTCAGAATTTCAGCTTGCTACTAGAACATCTTTTGAAAAAAAAAAAAAAAATCCCTCAGATACGGCCCTCGTATGATACAAGACCCCTGTCACTGAACTAATATTTTATTTCCCTGGTTGAACCCTTGTTTTTGGTCTATCCACCCGGTGCAAGTTATCGCCGAATGAAGTGAAGTCCTCTGGTAATGATACAGTTGAAGTTTCACAAAGTAAGACTCGACATTGAGCCCCTGAGACTCAATAGGACACAGTAACTACACTATGGAAATCATACAGTGCCTGGTAGGGTCTAACGTATACGAAGCCTCCGTCTGATTTGGGGTCCTTTGTCTTATGCCGCTTAGCTATGGACTTTGGACACCGTTGTTTTAGGTTAAGGGATGATAACATGCTAGACCTTTCAAAGAAGGATGGAATACATTTCAGCGTCGCGGATGCGGAGCTGTATCTCTGTCGAATGCATGAGCCGTTTTCGAATTATCCGGCGAAAGCCCCTGGAGTACTGGGTCGCATATGGTGGATGTGTGGGTTGCAGGTTGGAGGAGTGGGTATAGGGCGAAGGCGATAGATGAGGATGTTTCGGGCCCGTCGAATAACAGCTTGTATCCTTTGGTTTATGATATTAATGCGCAGGGGTGTAGGGTTGGGACTGAGTTGAATTGTTTGACATTTCATGTTGTTGATTCTGTTGGATAGATTGTTGTTTGTTCGTTCATATAGCCGAGGCAGCTCTAATAGCCTGCTTGTAGATGTACATTCGGACGTCATTTTCTATACTTTGCTTGCTCAGTCCATGATACTTCTCAAAGCTGATCAAACAACTCATGGAAGTATTGAGTACGTGGATCGTGATATTAAACTACAGAATTAATGCTTGTGTGTATGTACATGCTAGGAGGTAGCCTATCTGGATATATATAATGAATCAATAAACAAGCCTTTTCATGCGTATTACGGACAACTTATTGACAAGAGGTCATGGTGAGGTTTTCATTTGACTGAGTACATATTTTGATCCAAAGTACAATGCGAAGAATGCATGTCCTGACAAGATGGTCCCCCATTGAGCTTTTCTCACGTACGCCGGAAATGCGACTTTGCCCGTTAAACAAATCACCATGTCTCAGCAACAGTTGACCATGGCGCGATGATACTGATGCATATTCTATCAAGGTTTCTATGACCTCAAAGAACAAGTCGAATATCTCCACGGTCAAAATGCCCTCACTCTGTTAAGAAATGAACGTGAGGAGAGGCCTATAAAGTATATACGAGACCCACAGTAAACCAAATCGGCGAGCTATAAAGTCTAACTAAGACTATCATAATATCTTTCCCTCGGAAGTACAAAGTATCCAACGAAACCATGAAAGCTTGGATGATCTATACTTTAACGCATGTTATGATAAGGCTTTCAAGTCAAGCAAGGCATTGCCGAGCTTCTATGCAAGGGGCTGAAACCATTCCCAATAAGCCGATCAACCATTTCCCGGCTATTCATTGCCCTATCACATTTTAGGAAATATATTTTCCGAGCTGTGTAGTGGAGCAAGGCCCTAGAATGGATGTTGGGGTACATACATGAACAGATAGTGGCGCATCAGTGTTACTGCATCATATCAGACTTACGACAAAGGGATTTTTGGTCGGCTAAAACGGTACTTTAGCTTTATACATCACGGTGGCAATTGAGTTAGCTCTATAGCCTTTCTTTCAACGGCAGAGATCGACCGGGGAACTTATCACAAATAGAAACAGTGTGCCTTGCTTGAGCTATTACTCTCGGTTAGAAGAGCCGGACGTGATTCGTGCTCTTGTCATCACAGCACTCGTGCGTATGTCCCTTGCTGTTGTTTGCGTCACTGTTTTCAAGTGTGCAATCTCATATTAGAGTGTCGCCAGATGTTTAAAAAGGTAGAGGTATGTCAATTTGGGAAATACTATGCTTGCTAGCACGCCTTAGGCCATACACGCCGCCTAATACCGATAATAAGGACATAATGGATCAGAAGATATACCCTACAGGATCTAGTGATCGGAAAAGTTGCTATCTTTTGTCCCAGATAGCCTTTTTTCGCAATGTAGTAGACATATCATACTAAGCGGCGGCTTCTTGATCCCCACAGAACTACAGCATTCTCCACACCTTATATTGCTAGGTTTACCAAACTGAAGTGGCTGTCCTGAATCTCTGCAAGGGAAGTGCCGATATCTGGTAACCGAGGGGCCCACCGATATTACAAAATGCAGGAGTTAACTATACACAAACATGATCATCGATCGATTAGACAATCAAGATTACGTTGGCCTGTTAGAGCTTAAGAATTAACCGTCTTGCTATACGACGCGTCATTGCGAGACAGAATCTAGGTTAGAAACGCTCCAATTAACCCAGAACCAACACAGAGGAGCAAGTTCGTGGACGCGAAACAATTCAATCATTAGGTAAACGCACGCGCCACGGAGCTTGTTCTATCTAGAACCTGACTCTATCATACACATGATAACTGTAACATGGCACGGCTTCTACGGTAGCATAAAAACTATGGGCAGATTTAACTGTCTGCACTTCATTGCCACCCCGCCTACGTACTCATGGGAATGGATGTGCTCAGCCAAAAGTAATGATATGACGCACTGTATCAGGGGGAGACGATCGGTAATGCAAGGGGCCCTAATCAATATCTGCGGACTCCACCCCGGAAATGCTAGATAGTTTCCCAAGCCACATGAGACAGGTCATATCACCTTTTCAGGGTTCAGAAAATCTAAGCCCTATCTACCTGGAGAACAGGTATAAAAGCGAGCATCATCCATGCTCTTACAACCTCATTCCTCAGCATCAAACACAATCAAAGCATTCAAAGCCTACTATCACTACTACTCTCTCCACTACTCGGTTCTTCCGTGACAACCAAAGCCTTCTTTTACAATGAAGTTCTTCTCCGCCATTGCTCTTGCCTCCTTGGCTTCTTTCTCTACAGTCTTTGCCGTGCCTAGCGCGTCCGGTGGCGAGGACTGCGCCCACTTCATCTACAGAACTCTTCGCGATAAGCAAAGCACCGACATGTACAACTGGTTCCGGATCATTGATTCGCAGCCCAACAACCCTTGCAAGTAAAAAGTTCGCCTTTCCAATTGTTCCACTCAGTGTAAGGACCATTCATTTGACTACTTTCTATTGGCATTAGCTCACCATAAGCAGCGACTATTCAATCTTGTCAACTTTGCCGGATACTCTCGCTTTATTCCCTCGCGGTAATTGGCCTAGCAAGACTGAGTGAGAAATATGGGAGGACGTTTCTTGAAAGTGCTGTGTATATTGGATCGTGATACATTCACCTGGCTTGTAATTACAAGGAATTAATATTGCTTCTATTTCTGATACTGTCCATGTAAAGATGAGTAACGTACACCATCTAATACAATTCGCACCTGGTCGCGGCTGTTGGGAACTGTTTTTGCCTGCTCCCAGCTTCTGGAAGCTTGGTTGGCGAACACCGTCAAGAAATTGTTGCTGTGGGTACTCTGTAGATCATTGACTCTTTCGATGTGATATGTTGATTCAATATATAACGGAGCCAATCATAATGACAGCTTATCCTATGCGAATCGATAGTTATTTTTGCCTTTCTTTTTTTAATCCACCTGTTAATGTAAGGGTAAAGCCTTTGTTAATGAGCTTTTAGGAACGTCTTCTTGGCCAGTGAATTTAACAGAACCAATGAGTCCGGCTATAGGAGCCTACGAGTACAACAGAATTCCAAGTCATATACATCGGTTGCTGCTAATAATCTGTATGCATGATTACATACACACTGGGAAGGCAGTTGCTGGTGCCATTCACGGTACCACCGCCAGGGTCGATATCGGAAAACCTGACAAAGTACGGGGTAAAGAAACGAGACAGATGGGGTGATGTTAGTCAACTCGAGATTAGAACGAGTATGACTTCTCCTGAGTACTCAGCTATATTACAGGTCTGATTTCGACTGCTATTCCAGTTTAAACCTTGGGGTGAGATAACTTGATAACCCATACTTGACCTTCCTAATCTGGATGATGTAGGGCAAACCTCTGTTATCATCACGTGGTGATAGACATCTCCCCGCATTCTTCTTTTTTTTCTCTTTTCATACATTGATTTTTCACTGAAACAAGAAAACTTCAATGATTTGTGCAGCTATATACATCAATTGTTGACTATCGTGGCGCTGCACAACAAGCCTGGCCAATACATTAGATCTGCCGGGGAGACAATCTATTTCAACCCAAATACAGCCAACATTTGGCCTTCATCCCACGTAACAGTTACCCCACGTTTTGAACAGAAGAAGTGAAATAGCCACACAGCTTCTCCAGCTAAACTAGATACCGGAGTCTACAAATCAAAGATGAACGACCTCCTCCACTCACGCTCGGAAACAACCGCCCGTCTCTACGCGGACCCCCACAACCCACATCTTCACCTCGAACGGGGACTACTCCATGAGCAATTGGGATTTGCGGATTTAGCATCCGCGGACGCGTATCGTGCTCTTTCACTGTTGGAGTCCGTCGTTGACCCCGACGGATGTGAGTTCCATGCTCGAAGGAAGATAGATACTCAAGCTCAGGCTGCAAAGGAGGGGGGGCAAGAAACTGAAGATGACGACGACGACGACGATTCATATATTGCTACAACACAAGACGAGTATGACGAAATCATTGGGACTGTATATGCCTTGCTTGTTCGGAGCTTAGTCACTTGCCGGTGCTACAGAGATGCATATGAATTCTGCATGCGTGGTTTGTCGCTACTTGGAAGTATGGAAAAGTGTAATGGTAAAGCTGTGGATGCCCTCAGGGAGCAGCTAGGCGCAATTCAGAAAGTATATATTTCTCGACGACCAGACTCGGTTAAGGACAATGGAGCTGCGGAAGTGGAAATCAACCCCAGTGCTCTGAATGCGCAGGGCTTCGCGCGGAGGGTCCTGTACCCCTGGAACGAGCACGAGCCAGACAGAAAGGCCCCCGAAACACTCAAGCTGCTCAATGACAGACTGAAGGACGTTGCGCCCAAATGTGAAGTGCGGGCTGTTGCCCTGCCCGCCCTACACGGCACCACCGACGAAGGAACCTCATCAGAGGGCGAGGTATCCATCCAACTAGGCCTCTTCGCCAAAGAAGACATCGCCCCCGGCGAGATCATCCTTCGCGAAAACTCCCTCCTCACAGCCACTAACAGACTCCACGATGACCTCTGCGACGCCTGCAACGCCCCTCTCCCCGACTTAGCATCCGAGAATCCCCCCGTCGCCTGCACAGACTGCGACGACATCATCTTCTGCAGCCAAGCATGCCACGACCAAGCACAGGAAACCTACCACGGCGCCCTCTGCGGCCTGATGGAGAATCTCGAATCCATCGGCAAGGACATTCCCGACCCCAAAGACAAAGCCGACTACCTGTACCTCCTCCTCCTGGGCCGGGCAATCGCCATGGCCGCAACACAGGACGTGCATCCTCTCGACCTCCCCGAGATCAAGTACATCTGGGGCGACTTCCACGACCTCGAAGACTCATCCGCAGGCTCTGTTACCTCCGACGACCCCACCGCCACCCTGCCCTTCTCCTTCCACCTCAATATCCTCCAGCCTATGCGCATGCTCGAGGAAATGGAACTGGATCCGTACGAGGCCCTCTCCCGCTATGATACCTGGGTGCTTAATACGCTCTATGCTAAATTCCGCGGCACCGCATCCGGTCGTCTGTCTACCTGGGATGGTGGCCCGGAGCTCTGTGCTGTGCATCCGCTCTGGTGTCTTGCGAATCACTGCTGTGATCCGAATGTGAGGTGGGAGTGGGGTGGTGAGATTACCTTCCGGGCTCGGACGGAGTCTGAACGTCCTGTTTGGAAGAGGACTGGTACCGGGGAGGAGCAGACGCCGTCCAGGAACGAGGGGATCAAGGCCGACCAGGAGATCTTGAATCATTACTGTGATATTGGACTGAATGTCAAGGAGAGACGGGAATGGGCTAGAGGCGCATTGGGTGGGTTGTGTTTGTGTGAAAGGTGTTTGTGGGAGGCCGCTGAGTAGATTTGTTTACATTGTCCTTTCCTTGGGGGAGTTTACGTGAAAAGATAGATGGGTTGGATGGTTGAGTGAGTGATACCCTAGATATGATAGATGCTGTGCCGAAAAGCTATTGTTATAGTTTGCGTTTTATATAGAAAGCTAGACCTGCGACTGATGCCAGGTGAACATGTGGATCATTTGCAGTGACTGCACTGCCTTTTTTGCTATTGGGAACGTAAATGCAGGGTAGTACAAATACACCTAAGAAACCGAGCCTTTTAACCAGTCCTAATAAAATAACTCATGACCTGCGGTCAACATCAAATAATTGAAATTCTTTGTATGCGTCTTAGAGGCATCTTCATGTCATTTTTACAACAACCCATCACCATTTAAATTAGATATAGTCAGCGGCGCGGCCCCGACGAGGAGGAGTCCGGGACGGCGATCTACGCCGAGGGGGTGAGCGAGACGGTGATCGGGAATCCGAGTACCGGCGTCTTCTTTGATCACGTCCCGATCGCGCGGGGCTCGGGGAACGTGACACTGAAGCATCACGGGCGCGCCGAGCCGGGGCTGCCTTGCGAGGTGAACGCGACGATGCGCGTTTAGAGCGAGGAGGAGACAAGGACTCAGACGAGTAGCGTCTGCCTCGTGCCTCGCGCCGAGGTGGAGTAACAGATCTCGACACCGATCTGGAGTAGCTTCGGTTCCTACGACTGTAACCCCGTTTCTCGGGTGTAACAGACCGAGATGGTGAACGTCGA